ACCTAGCCCCAAGCTACAATCCACATCTCCTGGGGAAGAGAGAGAGATAAAACCTTTCCTTGCTGCCGGGTTTTTCCAGCCAATATTGGCTAATTAAGCAGCACAGCTTATCGTCTAATTGAGCATGGCACAGCTGCTTGATTAGCATTATAGGCATCTTTAGCAAGGGGCTAGAAGAAACATTTCTTACATTAGGCCATAGTTCTGGAGTTGTTTTTTAATTTTTTTTACAGGAGGCTGCATGGCTCAGGAAGGGTGGTGTAATGCTGAACCACTTCAAGGTGGATGGAGGCAGCGCTGTGTCCTCCCATGGAGGTGGAATTCAGCGAGGAGACAAGCAACCACAGGTTTTACTTTAAAGACTTACCGGTAAAAGCCTCTGCTTACTTCCTTGTAGGTTTTCTTGCAGAAGAAATATTTTGGAATTGGAGAAGCAGGAATCCTTCCAGTGCCAATTTTTGTTTTCTTATGCATTCACTTCATTAAAAAAAAAAGTGTTTCTAAAGCCACTTGAAGCTACAGCAACTGTGTACTCAGAGACAAACTAAAGGATTTCCTGCAGCACTCAAGGCTGCACAGACCAGGATTACTATTGTTTCACATCCAAAGAATGGCTTAGAAATACAAAATCTTTCCCAGACCTGTAAGACCTTTTTAGTATTTCATGTAATTAAAAAAACCTCTAAAATGCACTTAAAATTTGACACATCCTATTTTTGCTTATATGTATACAAACCTAAAGCAATTACTGTTTTACAAATTGACCTGGTAACAGTATGTCACTTTGTGGTAAAACATATGCAAGCTTACACTTGAGGTTGATCACTGGTTTTCACGCCTAGCACGTAATTTTAATTTAATTTTATTTTTTTTTCTCTCAGGGGGTCCTCATGTTTTCCAGGAGGAACTGAGCAGACGGTGATAAAGCACGCATGTCTTTGGCACTTTGGCCGTAAAACCAAAGGGCTCTGCAGCTCAGCCTGGCTCCAGCCCCTTGGGCAGCTGCCTGGGAGCTGCAGGAGCCCCACATGAAGATCCCAGTGATCACAATCGCTCTCAGCTTGCAGGTGTCAGCCGACAGGCATCTCCAAAATCTGGGCTGGCAGTTCCGAGCGGAGCAGCTGATGTAATCTCAAGTGATGCTGAAGCAGCAGAGGCCTCTCCAGGCATTCGCATAATTCTCAGCTGGGCGATTATTTCACAATATACAACAATGGAGAGGTCCAGCTGGCAGCCTCCCTCCAGGCTGCCACAGCTCCTCACCACCCGCTGTGACCTGCATGGAAACAGCTGCCAGGGCAGGGGGTGAAACCCGAAATCCAACATTTCCTCGGCTGAGCACTCAGACTGGCACGCTCCTGCCCGGGCAGGACCTCCCCAGGGCACTCCTGGTCCAGCACCCCACGCTGCAAGAGCTGGACCACCCCAAAACACCATCATCAAGGAAGGACATCTCCCCTTGCCCTGAAAAGGATTCTGCCCATGCAAATGTGGCAGAAACCTTACTGGCAGCCCACTTGCTGCATAAATCTCATTTATTTTCCTTTTCCCATTTCTGCCAAAAGCCCAACTGTCTGGCCTGACAACTGGCCACTGATTTACGCTGCCTGTGCTGCAGATGGCTCAGCTGTGGCACACAGCACAGATGCAGCTGCCGGGTCGTGGGTTTTGTTTTTTCCTCCTTGCGTTTCCAGTGCTAGGGAAGCAACACGTGGCAATCTTCAGACAGCTCTCGAGTCAGGGGCTGGCCCTGCCACCACCTCTGTCGGGCTCTTCATCAACAAACGGGACACAGCAGCAGCTGGGGAGTGGTGCAGCTGTCCTACGTGCACTGGTGTTGCCCAAAAAGCAGATTCTTTACCCAGTGTGCAACAAGCCAATCCCCACACATGCAAGAGAGAGAGGGGTTTATTAACACAACTGCACAAGTTTGGATGCTAGACAAAACTAGTATACCACCTTGAGGAATTACAGAATCATAGCATTAACTACAATGTATTTACCTTATTTGATTCGTATGAACGCACCTAAATTTACAATTACTGCTCAATGATTGCTATCCTCTCTTTTATTGGTTATATTTAAATTAGCCCTGCTTTCCATGTAAATTAGCACACATGCTGCTTGCAAGTGTGGGCGGCAACTTTACTCCGGTGTGAACTGAGTCAGTGGCCATGATCTCCCGCTGCCACCTTTGCCTGTGGCTGGCTTCACGTCCTTTGGCAATTAGCACATGATTTATGTATTCTCCAGGATGTCCAATCTTCAAAGACACAAGCTTCTGATTAGGAGGCTTTCAAGCATCACTCTTGCTCTGAACATTCTCAAGGACAAAACATCTGGCTATCAGCACCAAGGACATACAAACTTTCAGTATCTATTTTTCTACTAATTAATTGCAGGATTTGTTTATCCACTTTCAAGGTAACACTGGGAAGGGGGAGACACCCTCCAAGGTTTCACAACTGGTACAGTATTACATGACTAACTGGTGCCATGGCGCCAGGAAATCCCCCCAAGCCTCGAGTCTTTGTCACACATGCATGATAGAGAGACTTCATCTAATGCTAGCTGAGTAAGTCTTGTGGCTCTCACTGAAAAGCAGAGCTGGTAGCATCCTCAAGCCTTCATCTAATCCACCTTTCTATCCCAAAGCATGATCAACATTCCCTCACATTAAAAAGCTTAAGCAAAGCATTTCTAATCTGCTCTTAAAAGCTTGCAGTGATTAAGATTCCTTAATTGTCAGGACAAGACCTCCAGTGCCTTACAACAGCTTTCTTGTTAAAGCATTCTCCAACATCTACCCAGCTACAGTCTGATGATTTTCAAGACTGTGACCTCTCTCCCCTTCCACAACAGGGAGGATCAGATTATGCTCTTGCCTTTTCCACCTTCAAAGACTACTCCCTTGCCTTCTTTCAGGTTTTGTTTTTTATTGTTGTTCATTTGGGGTTTGTTTTTTCTTCGGTAAGCATTAGCTGTACCTCCAGTCATCCCTGCACTAAGCCTGCTCTAGATTTCACTTCAGCTGTCTCTGCAGTAAGTTTTCCCTTAGCCAGTTTAACCCACGTGTGCAAACAATGGCTGGTCTGCTACCTTTTGTCATCTTCATTTCTAGCTCAGAAGGAAATGAAGATAAATAGCCACAAAACTACTGTAACTAACTCTTTTCTAGTGTCTTGATTTAAAAACCTGACACTAAGCAGCAACTCCCTCAGGTGTGTAGAAGACGAGGCTGAAGATTCCCATGAGCAGCGGCTCTCCAAACATGCTTCAGTTTTTCCCTGACAGTGAAGTCAAACGAGGTGAAGAAGTTCAAAAAGAGAGGAGTCTGCAGCACTTTGCTGACAACAGTGTCACTTTTCCTAAAAGTCAGAGCTACACCCTAAACATAATCAAGTGCAGAATCTCTCTTCCTGTAGATGAGTGAAATTTATTTCAGCAGCGAGGTAGCAGCTCCTGGGGACAGGCACACCACACTAAATCATTACCACGACCTTCTGCAATTTTAATTGCAAACAGATGTAGCTGCAAATTGTTACCGAGAGCACCACTGCTGTTTATCTGGACACTGCCCAGGACAAGTGGGCCCAGTCCACTGCCTGATGTCCTAGGGCGCTGCTGCTATTTCTAGATTTTGATTTTCCCCCATCCACAGATTTTTCAGATCTCTGGCTTTAGTAGAGAAGAGCTTTTAAAAGGTGTCGCGCTTAAGGCTGGTGTGATGGTGATATGAACTAAAAGGAGGGCTCTGGAGACCCTTTCAGAAGATGACATTTGAGGCAGCATTGGAAAGGACAATCTAGCTTCAAAATGATTACATCCCACGGTGATTCTGCAGAAATATTAACATATTTTCAGACTTAAAAAGGTCTTGCTATAATGCCTTTTTTTTCCCCCTAAAGTTACTGCCTCACTGTCCATAAAGCTATTATCCACTTTTATTTGCTTAGCTCTACTTACAACGTGGAGAAACCAGTAGTCATCTGTAGATTGGAACCTTCCAAAGCCTTGAACATGAGCGAAGATTACAGGTTAGTGCCATGGGCTTCCAGTTTCTCAGGTGACAATGGAAGTACAGAACATTAGAAGGCTGATGCTGTTCCTTCTCAGCTCTTCCACGTGTGAGCAGTACACCTGGCTGATCTGTGAAGCCAATACTGTGACCCGCGTGAAACAAAGCAGAGCTCAACCTGTCTCTGCGAAGACGCACCAGGAAATTTCCTTTGTGGGCCGTCTCAGGTGCTGCAGGGCTTCAGAAGACAATTGGAACTACTATTCTGAGCCGCAGATCACAGATTCCCTGTCATTCACTTTAACTTATCACATCCCTGCTGAAGACCCCTACGGAGAAATTGAACTGCTGACTTCTGTTTAAAGAAAATGCTCAAACTGGGAGGTGCTCCAGGCATGAGCCTAGAAAGCATCATCACAAACTTGGTAAATATCCGACGTGCTATGAGTGCAAAAAAAATTACATGTCCCCAACCCTGAAATGACTAGAGAAAACAAAACAAGTGAGCAAAAGCAAATGATCTATCTATCTATCAGATGTAAAAAGAGTCTGTCATCACCATACTTGAAGGACTAAAGAGAGGAACTCCAGGAAAAAAGCACAATCCAGAGCCTTGACAGGGAAAAGAAAGCTGGACTCCCTGGTCAGTTCAGTTCTAAGTGGTAACAGTCAATCAAATCCTCACAGTGACATGTCCTGGTGCAGATGCCATCTAGGGGCCAGCTACAGGTGTGTATCACTTATAGAAAAAGAACTGATAGAAAACCCAGTAAGCTTGGGAGTTACTTTATGAAAAATAGGTGATGTTTACAAATGCAAAGCTACATGAACCCCTAAAAACAAGTTTGCTGGAAGGTCCAAGTGTGCTATCCAACAGTGAGAAGAGTAAGGCAAAAGGTTGCAGAAGTACAGTAAGAATTCCAAAGTGTTTTACTAGTGCAAAGAGACAACAGGAGGGAAGTCTTCTTCCACGCAGGCCACTTCATGTTAAACGGAGTTTGCTGAACTCCGTCATCTCGCGAGTCATTATCTCAACCTGCCTTGAGAACTCCTCCTCCAAGGCATCCTAGTGGGAGAGAAAACCAGGAAACAGTTTTACATTCCTGTTAGACAAACATGAATATATCTACAGGGATCAAACCCTGGGATATCATTAGCACTGATTAAACCCAAGTATTGAACTGGAAGGTCTCACTGCTGCTAATTGAGGTCTCCAAATGAAGAGCACACTCAAGTTGCCTTCACTGTGCCCCAATGTGATACCAGGCACCTTCAGGCTGAACAGGGACACTCCAGATGCGATTCTTCTGACTGGATAAAAGCCTCACTGGTAAGGCAAGCTTGTATTTCTGACTGGGAAACAAAAGGCTTTGCCAACCTGAGCAGTCCCTTCTGAAAACGTACAAAATGCTCTCAAATACCTGTGACTTTTGACCTTTAAGGCCATCACTGAATACGCTCTGCTTTATCTGTGAGCAAGCAGACAAGCAGCCCAAAGAAAGTATGAACTTCAAAAACAGCTTTATATGAACACTTCCCAACCACTATACCTCCAGATTACACAAGCATGGATGAAAACAGCTGTTAAATAAAACACAGGCCCTAGAGCCCTCAGAATTCAGGAGCCACAAGGAAAGTTGTAAGACCAACAAGGTGCAACAGCTGAGTGAATGAACATTCTGACGGGCAAAGCAGACAAAAATCCAGAGGGACAGAAACGCCTAATCCCCACTGAGACCCTTTTTTTCAGCTGTCTTTGTAGCTTAGATATTGTTCCACCATCAGTTCCTCCTAACAATGTGCATGGCTTCTGCCTTACCAGAGAGCCCTCTCGAGATCGTTAAGACTACAAACTGAGGTACAGAAATCCAAAACCAATTAATATATAGGGCTTGTTTTGGAACGACGGCGCTCGTTTAAATACCTCAGTGAAAGATAAAGCCAAAAATCTTACCAGTTCTCTTTTTGCCTCTTCAATCTTCACTTTTGCAAGGGCAGGACTCTAATGAGAGAAAATGGCATAAAAATGAATATTTCAGCTGAAAACAGAGTCCCTGCATTGTCACAAGAGTCTAATGTGCCGCAGGGGAATTCAGGGATAATGAAATCAGTTTTGCATACACCTTTCACATGCAAAAGGCACTGATATTAAAAGCCTAACATCAGTTCAGTTGGGACAATTGTCTGTTTCTGGTATAAAGTCTAAAAAGCTAAAAAACCCCCACCATTTTTACCAACTTTCCAAACCTAGCAATTGAGGAACTAGATTACAAAAACACATCCGTGTGTGAATTTTCCAAAACACAATAAGCTTGGGAGGATAAACCCTTCCTCTCTCCTCCTGCCTGCACCAGAAGTAAGGAATTGGGGCTCTCCCCATTCACACTGACAGCAGCACAGGAGGGAGGAGAGAACTGGAGAACCTAATCCAATTTGAACGTCCTGTTTCGCTTGAGGAAAGGAAGCAGCTGCCTCTTGAAGCAAGAGGGATTTAAAAGAGAAGCAGTCCCATCCTCTGCCTTCACTCTTTTCTTCTAGGAGGCTGACGGCAGCCTAGCCACTATAAGGGTGAGTTTGTGAACAACTTTTAACTGAAACAGTCTTTTGTAATAAGCATTCTAATTTAAAAGAGTAAAATCCTATTCATAGAAGATGCTTCCCGCAGCAGTCCAGTAGTAACTCTTAGCACAGATTAATAAATAGATTAATCTGCTAATTCACTTATCTGTTAATAGATTAATCTATCTTTCATTTACACCATTAATAGACCTATAAGCTGTCAAAGTGTCCACCAAAACCATCACAACAGTAACCTTTGCATTCTGAAGCCCATTAAAATTAATCTGAGCGGAAATAAAATAAAACAGTGAAAACAAAATAATTACAGGAGGTAAATCTAGGTAGGACTCCAGTTTCTTATTCAACTGTGCAACTTCTTCCCGCAGTTCAGCCACCTTCTGTAAAGAGAGCAAGACAGATTACATTTTTTAGTCTTTCTTATGGAAGTGAGGTTCTCTTTGACTAATTTACAACTACTATTTACAACACTTCAGAATTCACAGAGAATGTTGCTGAGAACTTTCATGATCCTGCTTAAAACCCATGAAAAACTAAACATCTGCTACTCAGTCAGTTACCAGCTAATTCAAATTTTATGCAGAGCTATCAGTTTTTTCTTCATTCTGAAGACCTCTTCAGGTATCTTTTCTTGCACTATAACCACCTGATATCACCCCCCTGAAAGGAGAGGGGATTTCACTCGAGGATCCGTCATAGAGGTGCAAAGGGGCTGAAAACTGAGCACCTTCTGCAGTGCTCAGCTCTTTTCAAGTCATCACCTTACGGTTAAAAAAGCAAACAATCAAAAAAAAGCATTGTAAAGACACAAGTTATTTGTGCCACCCAATTCAATGACCTCTTGGCAAAACAGATACAGAAATGTCAGGGAGCTAAACCTGCCCTTACGCTCAGGTTCCAGAAGATAAGTCGAGAAAAACTGCCTGTGACTTTTTGTATATAAAATTACAACAGAAATTATTTTTTATTAGTACTCTTCTGAAACACTGTGCAATGTAAACATTGCCACCCAGTGCTGGTTCATGGGAACGACAACATAAAAACCAGGGAATTTTCATTGTTCAACTTAACACGCAGAAAAAGCTAGCGAAAGAAATGGGGAGAAAGGTTGGGGTCTCCTTACAGTAATAGCAAACAGCATTAAAACGTGGGGGGGTGCAGACAGAACACCACAAATATATGTTACACATGTGCAAATGCTTCATCACGAAGCTGGAGAATCTATAGCTAGTAATTCAAGAAAAGTGGTTTTTCCTTTAATAAATAAACAAACCCACTGGGCTTCTAATACAGCTAAAAATTTCGTATCTGAAGGTGCCAGAAAAAACTCACAGTGATTAGATTTTGTGTTTCACTTAACCTCCTCCCCTTGGTCTAAAGCATTTGAAAGCAAGATTTATTTCACAGCAATTAGAACAAGCCACTAGGTCATTCTATCAGGTGACTGCAGCACACAGCTACCCATATAAACAGGACACAACCCACAGAACATCCGCTCCGTTTATGACCTGGATCACAACGAGAGGAGACAGATCACGGGCTGCCAGTTTTCTCTCAGTGGCAGGGAATTTATTCCATGGAAATTCTCAGGTAGCTGATATTCCCAATTACAGGCAGAAGCAGAAAGAGAAGAGAGGGGAAAACAAAAGACAACAAAAATAAAGATTCCAATTGTTCCCCTCCACCAGTCCAGAAGGAAAGCTTCTTCTCCAAAACAAGCCCACATCTCACCCTGGAGAAAAGGTGCCACTTCAGCACTCATAGGTGCTTCTCAGTTTTTAGGAGACAAACCCATCCCCCACACCCCAGTTCAGAGGTATCCACCTATGGGAGTTTCATTTGTGCTTCTTTTTACCAATAATATTTGTTCAGGTAACCAAAGAGCAAGATGTATTTCCCAGAATCACCAAACAAACAAGGCTGGTTTGTCCCACTGTGGAAACACCCATCTCATCCCATCAGACCTACCTCAGACAGGCTCATGAGCGACTCGTGCATCAGCGATTGGTCCAACCCCGCGGCAGCAAGCTGGTCCTACAAAGAGAAGAGGGTTCATTCATAAACAAGCACAAAATATAACCGGGAGGAGAAACGTTTTACCCTTTCCTTGGGGTTTGATCTAAACAGGCAAGCAAGAACAGATTCCGTCAACAACACAAACGTGTCCCATTCGCACCACAGCTATAACCGGTATATGAAATCAGTTCACATCAAGAATAACACGTCCTTCCAGGAAACTGCTGGGAGGAGAGCATGTGGCAAGGCTGGGAAGAGGCTTCTCACTAAAATATCATCAGCTCTAATACAATGTTTTCCATCTCAGATTTGTCAAGGTATCAGAAAGCATCAGTGTTAAATAAAGCGCTCGCATGGCCTTCAACACGTAGGAAAGGTGAAGGAGAACACAGATCAACTTCTGTCTTCTGCGTTTAATCCTTCGGTAATTAAAGAAAATGGCCATATTTCTCATTTTGACACACAAGTTGCCTCAGTGAATCAGCTGCTCTCCTGGTAGCTGCCTGTACACTCTTTATGAGAGTACCTCACAAAAGCAGAAGGCAGTCCAAGCTAAAACAGTTCTCAGTGAAGGAAAAGGAAGCACCCTTGAACTTGTCAGAGGGTGTCATGGGGAGAGGCCATGAACACAGCAGTAACAACTGAAGTGTAGCAACGTGTTGTCCTGTCAGTCCAAGAAATCTCTGTCCTGGAGCTTAGGAAGCTCCTGTAACTGCAATTTTGGGTCCAACCAACCATGACTCCGCCACTCTATCACAACACCTTGTTAGAAAATTCCTTTCATCTACCTCAGCGGCCTTGATCCTCTTTTTCATATCCTCAGTTTTCTTTTGCAGGAACTTCAGGTTCTGGGTTCGTCTGTCAGCTTTCAACTTCTCTATTTCCAGAAATTTCTCTGTTTGTTTAAGATCGCTTAAAAAAAAAAAACAACAACAACTAAAGAAACAAACCAAGCTTTTACATTCAAGGACATACCATTATGGCGCTTAATTATCTGTACTCAAGCTAAACCCTGTAATAAAACACAAGAAGGAAGAAAATGGAGAACATAATTGTATTTCCCACTGGAAACATCCACTGCTGTCCCATCCACAGTCTCAAAGGCTGGAGTGGGGGAGAAAAGCCCAAGGGGTTCCACATAAAAGCAAAGAGAAATAGTCTTCTGCCTAATTCTCTAATTCAGTCAGAGACCTGTTACATGAGCTAAACTTAAGATCACAGAGAGGCGTGACCACGAACCTGCACAAGCACACAAGCCTAAAAGTGGTGTCACGATTAGTGCTTTAAAAGACAAAACCCAGAAAATAATTAGTCTGGAAGGGGGCTGTGCAGAACAGAACTCAAGAGCCCCACATACTGGTTAAAGCAAGTTCTTACCTGGGAATGGTTTTTGTTTTGTCTGGCTCCTTCCCTCTGACTAAAGAGCCCATGCTGCATGTGCTAAGAAAATCAAGTTTGCCTTTAAAATCAGAGGCAACTGGTGCAAGATGCCATCTCATTTCTGAAAAGAGCTTGTAGACCATTTTTTATTTAAAATAATTTAGATGGTACCCTAAATCTCTTCTAGTTATGAATGTGTGCATAGCACATGGCATTTGATAGATACTTCCAAACAATGCGAATTAGACCTGTGTCCAAACCCTGAAAATTCAGTTATCCTTGTTAGTGACCACAACCAATGTTCCATATTGGAAAGATTAGTATTGCTTACATCTTTCCCTCTTCTCATCCATTACTCACTCCGCTAACTTCTTTTCCAGCATCAGCGCTTCTGTTAGTTTTTTCCCGATGTTGCTCAAGTCCTGAGCCATTTCTCGGTTTTTTGATTCTGTTGCATACAGCTCCGCAGTCATGATGTTGATGGCACTGAAGAAGCTGGTAAAGAGAGAGATTCAGTGGGAATGCTCAGGAGTCAGCTTTTCCGAAACTCAGAAATGTTAATTTTTCTCCAAAATTACTTTTTTTTTCGTGTTCTCATAGTATATATCAGACAACTGCTAGCTTTAAGAGGAAGAAAGTAAAAGAAGTCACTGAGGGCATTCACTTTCCTTAACTACAAAGATTTCATCTGGAAGGGGAAATGGACCGGCAATCTCAGTAGGAGGAAGTGAATAAGTCCTGGGACTCTAGTGACTATAACCATGGGGTTTGAAATCATCAGGTGCTCCACTCCTGGATTGTCAAACCGCCTTCAAGAAAACTGTATTCAGCCCCCCCCAAAATACACAACCCCAGGACACACTCAGCCATATTTCAGTTTCCTCTTGGTTCAAAGCTGCTCACCCTTCCAGCTCAGGAGAAGAGCTGTAATAGCCAAGCTCTCGCATACTGTAAAAAATTGGATTCCAAGGCAGAAATTGGGCTCTCTTTACTGCCAATCCTCAGCACAAAATCTGCTGTGTTATGGGTCAAACCCTGGTCTCCAGGACAGCAGACAAACAGCTGCCATTTCTCTGTGGCTAAGGAAGTCTCCTTACATTAACAGGCCAGGTAAGAGAGGGAAGAATGACACGCTGAGACTGAAAAGACCAGTTACAGTTCCGCAGCCCTTGCCTAAGCAGTATGAAACCTCCTCTAGCTTGTGCTACCTTAAACAACAGTCTGAGTGGCAGCATCCCACAGTCACTGACCACAAAAGAAGGGACAAAAAAAGGGATTTAATTCTGGCCAGGGCACCTTTCAGGTTTCAGAGACTTCATTTGCTGAGATAATCAAGAGTTAGACCTTTGTGCTCATTTCCTACATCCTCCAGAGCTGCTCCAAGGGGTACAAAACAAGTTGGACACGTAAGATTCCTGGTGTGAAAGTCAAGTTTGAAACTGTTGAACAGAAAAAACAGAGGAAAGTGTATAAACTATCACTCTGATGCACAGTAGGAAGAATTACCTGGCAAGAGAGGTGTCCTTTGTTTCAAGTATCATTGCGCTCTCTGCTAGGGCATTGAGGCATCTGGTGCCTTCACTGGACAGACTGCTTACAGAAAGACCTAGGCTGTCTTCAAGAAGGCCCTGCAGATAGTTAGCTGGAAAACAAATACAACCAAAACATATATATTTGTTATATTATCATTCTTTAAAGGCCTAGATGAGACTCTTAACATGTGTGCTAAGAATGTATCATGGTTCGCAGAATACTCACTAGCTGCAGAAAATCATGCATTATCACTCACTCTAGACAGCTCGAGCATAACTCAATCACCACACTGTTTCAGATTCCTCAAGTGCTTTCCATAACAGTGGATTAGCACCTGCTCAAACTCTTAAATCAGCTGTAGGGTTGCTTCCCTGTCTATCCAGCCAATATTTCAATGCTGTGCTACTCAGCTCAGAAGGCTAGGAGGGTTTAGCAATTAATCTGCTAGTCTGTACATACAGCCTGTTCAAGATGGTTTAAAGAATTGCTCTTGACCAACCTTACATCACCATAAATTTTGTGGAGACAAAGGCATGGGATGTGTTGAAGTAAAAACTGTAATAGAACAAAAGCTGAGTTCATTCCAATTATATATATATATGAATTTATATACGTATATATTTGTTTGTAATATTTTTAACAAAGGCAGCCTTCAGGACCGAAATAACTTGTATGGAACTGAGAACTGGAGCTTCAGACTCACTTTTTTCTTCATATTCTGTTGCCTGCTGCTCCATGTCCTCTATCAGCAGAGAATCATCCCTGTTGATGGCTTCGTTGTATTCTGCAAGCTCATACAGGATATCAACTGTCTCTGCACTCACTTCATACTGTGGAATAGGCTGATTCTCATATATTTTCTTTAGCCATAAAGTAACCTGCCAGAAAAGGGAAAAAAGAGTAAATAGTCAAGTGAAGTGTCAGAAAATAGCTGGTAAATGTGAGACAGAGTGCTGCACATTCTGCATTCCTGAAGAGTAACTCATACTGTATCAGTAGACAACATCCTTTGTCCCTTCTTCAAACAGCCTCCATGGTTTAAAAAACCATTTCCCTTTTAATCCCCCTCATTTGTCCAAAAGAAGGTGAGAAACTGCAGAGAGATGAACATGGTGCTCTCAGGTGGCACTGAAAGATGACTGATAAGAACTGAACACACAGAACTGTTCAATGAGGGAGCACATTGTCTGAGGCTATCTAAGCAATCTGATGGAAACACATCCATTTTGACTTTAAAACCATTTTTAACTGGTATGTCCTTCTGCATCCTTCCAGCACACCAGCATCCCAACCACACACACGCTGCACACGGCAAACATCGCCCTGAACTGTTCCAGGGAGAAAACGAGGCAGCCCTTAAAAGCAAAGAGCACTCATCACAGAACGTCAGGCATTGGAAGGGACC